TGGCCAGGAAATCATCACCGCTGATGGTGACTGCGTTAGGAGTCAGTGTGGAGGAGTAGGGGGGGGGGTGCGTGTTTCCATAGGACTGCACAAAACTGTGTCCTAACCTGGCCCCCCCCCCCAGCACCCCCATTCCAATACTTAACTGACAAACCTCCCTTTCAACCTCCATCTCCTCCCTCCTCTCCCTCTCCCTCTCCTCCCTTTCCCTCTCCATCTCATCCTCCTTTGCTTGACTCCCCTTTAAGTCTGTGACCTCCCAGGGAGGGGTGAGGAGTCTCAGGCTCTGTCGAGACACCCAGACAGGTTTCCCTTCCCCTTCGCCGTCTGTCTCCCCCAGATCGTTGCCAATCTTTTTGTCCTCAGTGAGAAGGACCTCGTACGGAAATGAAACACCGGGGTGGGGGTCCACCTGGGTGATGACCCCCTGCCTGTACAGCACAGGACTACCCTCCTCTTGACTATAAGGCACACACACTGGAGTCCCCTTTGCTACAGGTGCCATGCCGGGTGGGGGGGCATCCAGAATGATCTCCACGATGTCATCATCTTGTGGCAATGATGTCATCTTGGATCCACCCCTGAAAGGGTATCTAACAACTGCTCTGTCCTCCTGGAGCTGGACGTCCACAGAGTGAGCACTGACCTGACGCACCACCCCGGGTCTAAACCAGGGCCACAGCTTTCCTGAGTCTCTGTCCTTCAGCCCTCTGTGGAACGTGTCTCCAAGCTCGCTCTCCACCGGTCTCTGGCGAGCCAGGACTCTTTGGTTCTTCAAGGTTTTTACCACAGTTTCAGCTAGCCCCGCTGAGAAACTAGTCTCTTTTGGGGCTGAAATATGTTGGGGGGTGGGGGGGTGGCGTCCTGTCTGAAGAAGAAGGCTGGACCCTGTGGCTTCCACCCCATCCAGGTCGGCTGAGTGCTCACTGGCCGTATCAGTGGACGAGGCCGCTTCTGACTCGCCTTCTCCAACTTGGGCCTCTTTGTCCTGGGTGTCCACTGTCCTCGTGGCCCCGTCTTCCATGGAAACACCAGTCCTTTGTTCTGCAGCGTTGACTTCCACAGTTAGCACTGACGGCTGATTACCTGAGACATTAGAGCTGTTGTGAACAGATGTACTATGGCTCCCTGCACTACTGTTCCTACATTTGATCGTGTTGTTTCTGTCACTGCTAGTGTCTGTGTTAGCACTAACACTGATGCTACTCCTAGTGGTATTAATAATATTGTTAATATTCCTAAAATTATTACTGGGTGTATTTGCGTTATCACAGATCCTGCTGCTAATGTTGCAGTGGCTGTTGTGTGTAAGTGCAGGCTTAGAGGTAGAACAGGTAGCTAGGACGTTAGCGTTAGCAAAGTGCTCATATGTGTACTTCTTCTTAGGAACCCGAGCCTTAAACGTAGCTGTTTTCCTACTAGAGACCGAGCCCAGACCAGGACCGGGATTGGTGGACGTGAGAGGGACGGCCGTGGACAGAGAAGCGTCCACGGCTCCAGTGGACACTGCAGTGATTATCCCAACAATCTCCTCTTTTTCTGTCTGTTCTACTGCCTGTTTTCCACTCTTCTCCACCGACCCCCCAGGTTTCCTGGGCTCCGTGGGCTCCTCCTTCTCCAGACTATTGCTGTTCTTGAGTGGTTCTTGGTTGGAGTGGGTGGATGTGGGGGGGCTGGGTTTGTGTGCGGAGGGAATGTGCTGCGAGGTTTTCACCAGAGTCTTTATTCTTTTAGGGTCTTTCTCCTGGAGGGGCCGGGGGCCTCCTCTCCTTCTTGCCCCTCTGCCTCTTGTTAATGTCGGAGAGCGCCCCCTGTGCTTCTTCATTGGCCTCATCTCTTCTCTGTGCAGTTTTAACGTAGAATTCCTTTCACACCTTTAAGGCACTCCCTCTCTCCTCCTCCTCCTCCTCCTCCTCTTGTCTTCTGTGCGGGGGTCTGGGGAGAAAACACAGGTCGTCAGACTGAGAAGTTAAACTGACGTCATCATCAAGTCGAATGTCCTGCACTGGTCATCACAACACGGGGGGGGGGGGGGGTCAAAACACACCTGAAATTCAATGTAAAATCACATCAACCCTGGACTTATAGATCATCAGAGAGAGAGAGAGAGAGAGAGAGAGAGAGTTCAGAGATCGTCACATAAATAGTCTTGTGAAGTCTGTTCTTGTGAAGTCACAGGGAATTTCCACAGTCATTCCCAGTCCTCTTTCATACAGTTACACACACACACACACACACACACAGCGTGGCCTAGTGGTTAAAGTCTTGATCTTATAATCAGAGGATTGCTGGTTTGACCCCACCCCCCTCACTGTTGGGTGAAACAGATGTGGGAGTGAACACCTGACTCCCCCCCAGCCCCCACCCCGGGGGTCTTGATGGACAGGCCTTAGAACTGACTTCACTTCAGTTTCCAACTGACCTTTGACCTCTGCAATTATTTAATGACAAACTGAGTTTTGGTTTTTAAATGAACATCCCATCATCAACAGCAGCATGTGTCTGTGGGTGCTTCAACCTCTGGTCTGTGGCCCGGCTCGTGTCAGTGTTGATATCTGAGCTGCACTCACTTCATCTTCACAGTATGAAAATAAAAATGTTCTACTAATCACCATCAATAACCATGATTAGAAGAAAGTCAAAGAAAGTATGTTGATCAAATATTAAAAATTAGGATTTGGCTAAAAATCAGAATAACTCTGTTCCATCTGAACATCAGTTCCTAACTCTGGAACAGAGGGATCTACATTTGGAATCACTAGAGAAGAAAGAAAAGAACAAGAACATGAACCAACACCAGGAATATTGGAGAAAATCAAGAACTGATCAATGACTGAGGAGATTGATACGGGATCAGGAGAGGACAGATGAGGAGAGGACAGATGAGGAGAGGACAGATCAGGAGAGGACAGATGAGGAGAGGACAGATCAGGAGAGGACAGATGAGGAGAGGACAGATCAGGAGAGGACAGATGAGGAGAGGACAGATCAGGAGAGGACAGATGAGGAGAGGACAGATCAGGAGAGGACAGATCAGGAGAGGACAGATCAGGAGAGGACAGATCAGGAGAGGACAGATCAGGAGAGGACAGATCAGGAGAGGACAGATCAGGAGAGGACAGATCAGGAGAGGACAGATCAGGAGAGGACAGATCAGGAGAGGACAGATCAGGAGAGGACAGATGAGGAGATACTTCAGTCCAATAATTTCTTTCACTCCTAAAAATGTCGTCTCTTCTTCACTGCATTATCTGTACTTAATATTAAAAAAACTAAAAATATTTTAATAAAAAATCAAATTCCGTGTTAAAAAATGATTTGAAGCCATAAAACGTGACTATTAAAAAAAATAAAATAAAATAAAAATTAAAACAATTATTTTAATTTCTTTCTGTCCAATTAAATAAAATGAATGTTTGATGTTTGATGACCTCATCAGCTGGACATTTAGCTCCTCCAGACGTTAGAAATCTGTCAACGCTGCCTCAGAACAAAACACTCTCATTTCAGTGTCTGCTCCTCAAACTCTGCCCTGAGTTTCTGTCAATTCAGGCCAAGATAAAAAAAAGGAAAAGTTGATAAAAAGATGATTGTCTTCTGACGACAAACAGAGAATTCAAACAGCATCTAAATGGACAAATTCTACGGCAGGTGAGACGTCCAGACTAACAACTGACACGTCACGTCAGTTGTCCACAACACTGACTTTTAACTATAAACACAAACACAATTCGTTCTCCAGGATTTACAGCGTAGTCGTGCACACGCTTTTAAATCTCTGCCCTGTATATTTTCTCACATACCCACCCACACACACACTCACACACACACACTCACACACTTACAGCGAGTGTGTGTGAGTGTGTGTGTGTGTGTGCAGGTGTGAACAGTAAACATCACAATAACTAACATCTAGGATTATTTCAATAATAAGAAGAATCACAGAAATACTGCAGAAACGAAAGGTAGGAGTGAACAGAAACACACACACTCACTCACACACACTCACTCACACACACACACACACACTCACACACACTCACAGACAGAACTCTAAACTCCTGGTAAATGTGAAACACGGCACTGCGTGCAGTGGCTGCTCCGTGGACTCTCACTGACCCTGCGTCCAGGTCCGGAGCGTTGGTGTGTTTTCCAGGGCCGTGTCCGTCAGGGCCGCGTCAGCTGACTGGAGGTCGGTCCTCACTCAACGCTGCATTTGCACAAACGCCGATGTGAGAGTGTGTGCATGCGTTCACCAGACACACTGCAGCTGATCCCTCAGCTGAAAGCATTTTATGGGTGTCTGTACGGGCACGGGGCTGCAGCGGGGAGGACGAGAACGAGCTACGTCAAGAAGGAGCAGGACCACCAGAAGACGTGGAGCTGCTCTTAAAAATAAAAAAATTAAAATCTCACCTAAAATGGGTCAGCAGGCAACCTGATCACAGATGAAATGAATACATATTTAACAATCAGGAGCAAACTGTCAGTTCAACACCGACACACTGCTGTGAGCCGTACGCTGACGGAGGTGACGGAGGTGACGGGTGTACATACAACGTTACACATGGAAAAAGAAAAGTTGTTTATTTCTTTTTGTTCAGCTTTGGTTTTATATTTAGAGTGAGTGTGTGATGACACGTAGGCGTACGTGCTTTATATATTTATATATATATAAAACAATATATACATATATAAATATAATTGTAGATGTATAATTTGGCAGAGTGTGTGCCTGGCGGTGGAGCCTGACTGGAGGCTGTGGCTCCGACCTGAGGTCCTGCTCCTGTCAATGCTGCATCAGTGGCAGCAGGGCCGCTGCAGAGTTTTAAAGATTCCCGTGACATCGGGGGATTCTCCGTGTGTAAACAAGAGCAATAACGACTGGATGGAAATGATGATGCAAATCTGCCCAGCAGTGGAGGGTAAAAGCAGGCGGTTGAGGATTGTGCTCAGTCTTAGATGACACGGTGACGTCCAGGGAGCAGGGAGGACCAAGCCTCTGTGAACGGCTGCTTCTATCATGTCTTTTGGTCATTTTGTGGCGTAAAGAGTGACCTTGTCAGAGTCGGTGCAGATCATGAGAACCAACATCTGCTCCTAATGTCACACAAACTCAGCTGAGCTCAGTCCACGCTGAAGTGGATTTTCTTTTTTTCCTCTTTACACATTTACAAACTGTTAAGGTTCGACTTAAATGTATGGCTCGGGGGACTGAGGGGGGCCGGATGAATGAAGCCAATAATCAACAACCAGAAGGATGCATACGTGTGTGTGTGTGTGGGGTAATAGCTGAGAAAACACCGTCCTAACCCATTCCCGGCTCCTCCTCGGTGCAGACACAGTGTTGTACAATGTCAAAGCAGTGTTATGATGTGACTGTCGGTCTGCCGCTGCTCTACGGTGCCCGGGAACAAACAAAAACAAAAGCTTTCGATGACGTTCTATTTCTATTGACTAAAAATCCGTCATTCTTTTTAACCAAGTCCTTCTAAAACTTAGAAAAAAATCCAATTTTTTCGTGTCTGTGTTGCGCTCTAGTAGGTCGCTAACGTTAGAAGTAGTAGTAGTAATAGTAGTAGTTGTAGTAGTGGAAGTGTTTGCTGTAGTAGTCGTAGTACGCAGCAGAAAACTGCCCACATCATGACACCGTCCACCGCCACGGCACCAGGAAACAGGACGTCGCCGGATCCATGGGTTTTTTTTTTATTTCACCTCCTCGGGTTCATTTTGTGGACAAAACAGTCGGCGTTGAGTGAACACTCGTAACGATTCACACTTCTCTTCTTTAAATAGGTCGTGTTGTTTATTATTTTATAACTACGTAAGCGCCGCTCCGCTTAAAAACTGGAAAACTACGGCGGAGGGAAAAGTGTCGACCGTAACAGTGGGCTGTCAACCGTAAGATGCTGGAATGTTGGACCGACGTAGAGTCGGTGGGACTGCGGTACAAAAAAAGAAGAAAAAAAAAACATTCGAGAAAGTTTTAAGGCTGTTACACCCTCACCCCTCCCATCTCTTCCTCGGTGTCGCTCCATTTCTTTGGGACGTTTACTGGAACTCAGCAGCGAGAACCACTGACGTCTGAAACAAACTCGCTTTCCCTGAAAATAATACACGAAGCTCACCTTCTCTTCGTCTGTTTTAATTTGAAACTCACCTCAAAACAGAAGCCGTTCTCTCGGACGGAGGCAGATTTATAGTCTTATTGTGCTGACGAGGAGTCTCCCTCGGTTCTTACTACCACGTCCTCTGACTGTCGGCTCTGTCGGCTCAGCGAGGCGGCCTCACTCTTCACTTTTACTCGGCAAAACATGTCTTTCCCCGCACAAACTCAAACAAGGACGTAAAAAACTACCGCTCTGCTTTTCCCACTACAGTCACAAAATGGTGAATGAACCACTAGCAGCTGGACTAAGCGACCAATCAGAGGTTGCTGACAGGTACAGTAGCAAATCAGCGCCGGCACCACAGATTAGAGGGCATGACCAGCTGTCATATCACACTTGATTGACAGACGGTCGCGGCCAATGGTAGCAGCGCTGCTGAGTCTAACCGGTGTCCTGTCCCAAACTTTACAGTATCCAATGAGAGCTTGGGGAACCTTAGGAACAGCATGGGGGCGGGCCGAGGGGCGGGAGGACGCGCCGCAGGGCCAATAGAAAGGCACAAACGCTCCCTCCCCTTGGAGAAGGAGCATGTTTACCATAATTGACAGCAGCGGTAACGGCAGCCGTGCCGTCCCAGAGAACACGGTGATGATGGGGCATCACGGTCTCTGTTTGAGCCCAGGTGGAAGTTGTCGCAGGACTGAAGCGTCACAGCGGGTTCACATGTAGTGACGCCTCTGTGGAACAGCTGTCATTAAAGTCTGTGTCGCTGTTTTGTGACGGAAGTGACGACGGTCACACAGTAGTGAACAGAGTCGGAGCCCGCGCTGCTCCACTGGTGCCCGCAGGACTAACACACACACTTACAATATCACTGACACTCATACTCACATACACCCTTTTCTCTCAGCAACAGACGCTCACTTTCACTGCTCTCGGCCAATCACTGCGCAGCACCGTAACGTCGACAATCGCTCTGCCCCGCCCATTCCACTAGAAGTGAACGAGACAGTTTCTGCTGACGTCACCGCATCGCGAGCTTATTGGTCAAGGGAGCAAAGTCCCGTGACCAATGGGCGCAATCGGCGATGATGTCATCACAAGTGTTGCCACCAGCTGAACGGAGGAGGCGTGACCAGGCGAACTCGTCTAACCCCGCGTTTGTAACTCGCAGGCAACAGTGATGGAGAGAGAAGAGAAGCCGCTGAGCCTTAACTGAGACGTGAACGCGGGACGTGCACGCTGCAGAGCTGCGGTGGTTTAGAAGGAAAACAAAACAGTTTGACAGCTGAAATGATGAGCGGAGAACGAACGTCGTCTTCCATATGATTCAGTGTCAACACATGTACTCCACACATCTACAGATGCTTCTACAGATGCAGCGCCTCCTGTCGGTCTCATGTCCTTCCTGGATCTGAGAATGAACAGAGAGGAGAGTTCGTGAGGGCAGATGTGAGTCCGTAGGCTTCACTGCGGGGTAACTCTGAGACTGGGAGGGTATTTGAGCTCATCTTTACCTCCAGGTGTCTTTAAAGGTGAAACAAGCAGAGGTGACGGTGCCGTTAATGTCAGGGGTCACTGTTTATCAGTGTGCCCGAATCTAAGACAATGCGTTATATTTAAATAGACACTGACATCTAGTGGTGATACTTTGACACGACAGCTTACAATTCCAACGCGTTGCGTGGAGATGAATTTATTTCAGAAACATTTTCGTCGTATAGTCCGAGAAAAACAAAATGTCTAAAAACGATGTTTACTTTCATTAATGATTCTTTAACTAAGTGTCACCTTTGAGTTATTTAATGGATAATTTCCCAAAACTATTAGTGTTACTGTATGATATAACACTTCTTTATAAGGACGTTGCATTGATTTGATGCTAATTTGAGATTTTCAGTGATGAGCTGTGTTAACATTGTGTTCACTCCTCCATTACATACAAATGTTAAATATTTACGTGTTCAGGGTTGACGTCATTTTGTCTTAGTATTATATGACCACCATAATATTAAATTAATTTGAGATTCTTTATTTCGCGTCCTCAGAAGACTGCTCGGTTGTAACACTACCTGTGGCCACTAAGGGGCGCTATGGTACTGGAAATAAAACCTCCCCATGTGAAGAGTTGGTGATGGAGTCTGACGGTGGTCTGGTCAGGCCTTGAACCAGCAACTTTAACTCCACATCAGCGACAAAGTTACGTCACTGTCCACACAAACCGGTTTGAACCTGAATTAACGACATGAACGCGTCTGATGTTTGTGGATGATCTTTAAATCTTAGACCATGTGACGACCCCCCCCCACATCTGTTTCTTCACCTTTAGTCTGCCCCTCCATGGGATCCTGACCTTTGACCTTCACCCCCCTCTGTGCACTCACCAGTATTCTGTCAGTCACCCCAGAGACCCCCCCCCAGCCTTTGGTTCAGACATCAGTAGATAAAATCAGAGGCAGAAGAAGAGACAGTCGCACAGAATAAGATGAAGATGAAGAACCAAACAACAGTGAGGAGATGGTCACAGTGCATGACCTATGACCCCAACTTTGACCTCTCAATCAAACCTGGTCTGACGTGACCCATCACACACAAACATGCGACGTTTGGTGAATGTGTGACGACGGTCAACGACTCTAACTACCAAACTAACCAGGTTATAGTTTCATCACTGTCATCAGACTCTGAAACAAACTGAGAAACTACACCCCCTTCAGGCCATACATCGTGAGACAGGGATAACGTTTCCTCAATGAACTAATCCAGGGGTCGTGAACCTTTTCAGCAGAGAGACAAAAGAAAAGTCACATATTTTGAGAAGTCTTTCTGTGAGAGCCGTACAGCGTGAACACAACTGAAGGTTGAATCAAGACACTGGGTCAAATGTAGACCAACTCACCGCCAAACAGAGCTCTTCAACAGGGGGGTTGTGGCCCCTGGGGAGTCCAGTCAGGTTCTGTGTGGGGGCGCAGAGAGATACAGCTGATGAGACAATTTTCAAATTTTGTGTCACAGCTGCCGTACGACGACAACAACAACAACAACAACAATAAAACTGTGTTTATGCATGAATACAGGTTGGGGGGGGGCTGAGAGAACAGTGAGCAGCTCCTCAGGTGTTGAGGCGGGTCGTGACCCCTGCTGTAGTCAGACCACTGGACCACAACCCACAGCTGTGATGACTGTCATGAAACACCTGAAACAGTCAGTGGTTCTGACCCAGTTCTCAGGTCTAGAACCTTTTTATTATTTAACCATTAAACGACATCAGTGGTGAATGAAAAGTGCCATTGACCTTTGACCTTTGAACAACAGGTGAGACTGCAGAGACAAATCAATACCAAACTCATCACATGGGTCCAACAGGAAGTACATGTAGCACAGAGAAACTCACAGAAACCACATCAACGCACACACACGCCTGTCGCTGCCTGGTACTGTTAGAGCACAGCTGCCACGGAGGAGGAGGAGGAGGAGGAGGTGGAGGAGGTGCAGCGTTTCTCTGTATGGTGGAGGATGTGGTGAAGTTACTATCAGCCTCTGTAGGTCACCACAGCAGAGCTGCAGCACGTGTGTGTGTGCGTGTGTGCGCAGCACCACAGGCGCTCTGTACAGGTTTCTGCGAAAGTCGGCGCTTGAAAGTAGCCAGAAGAGAAGGATGTGGGGCAGGTGAGAGAGAGACACAGAGAGAGAGAGAGAGAGCAGTAGTTCCTGTGGTGCTGACATCCCAGAATAATCTTAATGATTTCATTTGTTCTTTTCTTCTTCAACTTTAATCTGCTGTGGATTAATCATCATCGTAACTGGAATAATCTGGAGACATCGCTCCAAAACATGACAACAACAACAACGTGATGACGGAGTGTATGAGTGCCACACCTGTTGGACACACCGTGTGCGTTATCTTACACGTGATAAAAATGTTTTAATCCAATTTCAACTCGATAACGACACAACCGTCAACAACCGCTTTTATCGCAATTATTTTTGGCAAATAATCGCGATTAATCTGATTAAACAATTTGAACAATTCCGTCACACTTTGAACAGTTTCAAAGTATTTATGTCATGCATGTTTTTTTAAAAAAAGTACATCTTCATGGACTAAAGTGCCCCCTACTGGCAGCTGCTGGAATTGGCACCATCTCCTGTGAAAAAGATTAAAGTTAGAACAAAAATGAGTGAAAAAAGATAAAAGAAAACTGGGCTCACAGACGACGACGACGTCACGTGGTCAAACTCACTGAGGTGCAGTTCATCTTCTCACCTGTAGAACAGACGTCATTTCTGTGGTGGAAACTTTAAGGTCGTTTTATATTAATATCTTTTTTTTTATTGTCTGCCTTTTTAACTTTTGTTTCCATTTATTCTTTTTTTTTCACAGTGAGGAAATGTGCTTTATAAATAAAGTTTATTATTCTGTTCACGCTGGTTATTTCAAAACAACTTTATCACCGGACGACGGCAGAATTTAACTGCCTGATTAACCTGCTCACATTATTCTGCTAAAACGTGGACATTTCTATTGTTGTCCCACAGATTTACTTTACACCAGACATAAAAGTGTTTAGGTTCAAATCTCACCCTAATTAAACGTCATCCTCAAATCACAGCGCCCCGAAAACGACATCATGCTGTCGGCGCGACCAACACGTCGAGGGTTAATCTCTTTGTTTACACCAGTCCTGACCATAAAACAGCTGAGGGGTAATAAACTGTTGGTTAATATGGGGGGGTGAGGTGGGGGGGAGAGGGGAGACGTAACAAAAACACTGCGAGGTTCTCCTTGGGTTTAAACTGGTTTTAATTAACCCTGGTTACAGCTTAATTACAAGTTTGGGAGGAAAAGATGAGACGGTCGTGTTACATCATGGGGTTAAGTCCCGTCTCCAGACCAGAGTGACGTCACTGCTGCAGGAGACGAGGAGGGGGGAGAGGGGGGAGAGGCTGAAGGTCGACCTTCACACAGTAAAACTTTACACAGTTTTTCTCCTCTGTTTCCCCCCCGCCCCCCCCCAACAAAAATGAAAAATATACATATAGAGGAAAAAAATTATAAAAAAAAAATCACAATTCATGACAGAAGATAAAAGCACTTCCCCTCCGCCCCTCAGTGACTCCGCCCCTCAGTGACTCCGCCCCTCAATCAGTGTCACTAAAAAAAATAAGCACAGAGAAGGAGATTCTTCCTGGAGGGGGCGCAAGTCCACGCTCTGGGAATGGACTTTGTCTAAAACCATGTGGAAAAAACACAGAAGGATGGAATCAAATGAACTAACGACACAAGGTCAGAGGTCAAGAGGCCGACGACAACAACTGAAACAACAACAGGAATCAACAGGAACACCAGAACCATCGGAGCAGAACCCCTGCTGCTGGTACACCTAACTCACTGGGTGAATAAGAACCTCCACAGACGACACAGCAGACGACTGCAGCATCATCATCATCATCTTCATCATCATCATCAACCAGGACAACAACACACCAGCTCTGACTCCCCCCTTCCTCCCCCACAGTGTTGTCACACCTGTGGACAGGAGCTCTGTCAGCTGGTCTCCTCAGGTTCCACCCCCCCCCCCACCTCCTACACCAGAGGAAGGACATGAGTGTCATGTGGGTGCTGCTGACCTCATCATGACCTCCTGCTGACCTCCTGCTGACCTCCTGATGACCTCTTCTGACCCAGTCAGAGCAGCAGTTCTTCTGTTTTCATCTGATACAGAATTATATAAAGATTTGAGTCTGAGCTTTAGTACAAGCTGGAACAACAAGGCATGGGGGGGGGAGGGGGGAGTGGACCAGAGGGTGGCGCCCTCTCTGTGTTCACTCTGAGGACCATCAGTAAATCAGTGACCGTCAGTGACCGTCAGTGACCGTCAGTGACCGTCAGCGACACTGACTACAATAAAATACAGAACTATGACTTTAGAAGCTGAAGGCAGTGCTGTGCATAAATGTGTGTATCGGGGTGTGTGTGTGTGTGTATCGGTGTGTGTGTGTGTGTGTGTGTGTGCTGCTGGTTGACTTGAACACGATGACTAGGATTATTAGACTCTGAGCTGCTGAGACTCTGAGACTCCAGGAGAACGACGTTCAGAGCGGGTGAGGCGAGAAGGTTAGGTAAAAGTTACTGA